ATATATATATATATATGTATTGGAAATTAGTGGAGTATATTATTTTTATTAATTCGGCAAATATGACAACCATATTAAAACAAAGTAAATAAAGTCATATTTAAATCATAATATATTGACTTAAAGTTCTTTTCATTTAATCAACCAATCTAGCCGAAGAGGATAATAATGGGGATATCAATTTACATTCTATAGATTTCCAAAGAAAAAGAAAAATGATGCATGATATATTATATAGTGCTTATTCGATCTAGTTTTCCTTTTCTAAAAGAAAAGAAAAAAATTACATACATATCATTTAATTCCTATGTATTTACATTTCTAACACTTAAATTTTAGTTTTTGCATAGATATCAATTTAGGTATTCAAGAAAAGCTAAAATCGTGGTATTTTTTATGTATATGAAATACTTGGGTGGTATGGATCTAAAAACTTAAAATTAGATGTAAGAAATGTAAATTCATAAGAATTGAGTGGTATGTATGGAAATGCGAACTTAGAAAACTACTTTTAATAAATTCTTTTCAAATTTGTTAATGATATATTATAAAAATAAAGTTTTCAAAAATTGCACAATATTTTTTCAAACAAAAATATACATAATATTATGAGAAATTAAATACAATTTCAAATGTCACGTATTCTCTATTTGTTATAAGAAAATTTATGCAATATAATGCATTATGAAATGACAATTATTACGTGCGTTAGAAAGTTTGTAGCAGTAGAGTCATGAATTATTATATTAGTGTTCACTAGAACTCACCACACGCTCGAGTAATTAAAAGGAAGTAAGCAGAAGGAGAAATCTCATTTTTCAAATGGAAAAACCTTGGAAAAGAAAAAAAAACAACGGGGTCTAGTCCGATTGAAATAATTCACTATGAACAGTAAGCACACAGGTCTATTTTTCTTCTGATTTAGGGAAGATGGAGTTACAAAGTTAATCATTGTAAATGTACAACAGTAGTTTATTTTTAATAGTTGTAGTATGACTGTAATGAATTTAGTTCTCAGTGATATCATGTTGTAGAAGTTTGTCATTAAAGCTATAGACAGTTATTAAATCATTTTGTCATATAGGCAATAGTTGAAAGTCATGATAATAGTTGGTTGTGTGACCCATAAATGATTGCTTCATGAGCATCAGTTGGCCACAAAGTTTGTACTAGAAAGTTGCAAAAACTATAAGTCGCGTGAGTCATAGTTGGTCACATAAGTCGTAATTGTGAGCTGAGATAAAGTCGATAAACTGCAGAGGCCATAGTTGGAGCTATATGAGTTGTGGGTTGCATAGGTCGTAGTTGTTCATGTAAGTTGTAATAGCGAACTATGATGACATTTGTAGGTCACAATAGTCGGAGTCAAGAGCTGCACACTTTGTGAGCCACATCAGCCGTAGTGATGAAGTGTGATGACATTCATAGGCTTAAGAACAAGAGTCGAGAGCTGCATAACTCTGAACAACGTAGGTCGTAGGGGCCAAAGTCGGGAGAAGCACGAGATGTGAGCCACTAAGGACGTAATTGGCCTACTCCATGAACAACTACATCGTACATAGTCCATAACTCTCAACTCTAGCATTTATAGTCTACATATGTTATTGCAGCTCATCACAATGGCCTATGCAACAACTACGACCTATGTGGGTCACAACTCATGCAGCTCCTAACTCCAATCTCTATGACCTATAAACGTTATTTTGACTCACCACTATAGCCTACATAACCAACATGATCTATATGGTTTACAACTCATGTTGCTTTCAATTTCGGCATCTATGGTCTACAGATGTTATTACAACATATCATTATGACTTATGTGACCAACCTACGAGGTCATCCAAAACTTGTACACCTCCCAGTTTTGGCCTCTATTGCTTGCGGACATTATTGCAGCACACCACTATGATCTTTATGATCCTTAGCTCATTCAACTCCCAACAAAGGCTTTTGTGACATACAACATTATCGAAGATCATCACTATGACCTATAGTTGTTATCATAACTCACCATTATAACATATATAACCAACTACGATCAACGTGGTCATCAACAGTTGATAAAAGTCCCAACTTCAACCTTTATGGCTTATATACATTATTTCAGCTCACCTCTATGACTTACACAAGCAACTTAGAACAATATACTTCATAGCTCATGTTGCTCTCAATTTAGGCCATTGTGACATACGGGCGTTATCACAGCTCACCATTACGACCCACGTAACCAACTATGAATTCCATATTCTACAGCTCATGCAACTCCCAGCTTTGGCTTCTATGGTCTACAGACGTTATTGCAGCTCACTGCTTTGGCCTAGTAACCAACTATGAGCTAATTGATCCATAAATCATGCAACTCTCAACTATAATCTCTATGGACTACAAATGTTATTGTGGCTCACCACTACATCCTATGTAACTAACTATGAACTACGTGATCCACACTCAGCTTCCGATTATGGCCTCTATGGCCAATTGGTGTTTCTCGACCAATCATATATGACTTGCATCACTAACTACTACCACAACTTTCAACCACAACCTCTACGACCAATAGTTGCTACAACCACTCTACAACACGCATGGTGGGCTACTGTCTTCATAGCAATCAACTACAACCTTTGCAGCCAGTTACAATTTATTGTTGAACTACTGTTGTAAATCAACTTTGTAAATTCATCTTCTCTAATTCATAAAGAGTGTGAGCCTATATATTTATAATTACATATTGGATTATTTCAACCGGACCAATCTCTGTGAGTTTTCCCTTTACAAAGTTTTCCGCATAAAAATTGGAAGTGTCTCCTCCTCAATCAACTACAACCTTTGCAGCCAGTTACAATTTACTGTTGAACTACTGTTGTAAATCAACTTTGTAACTTCATCTTCTCTAATTCATAAAGAGAGTGAGCCTATATATTTACAATTACATATTAGATTATTTCAACCGGACCAATCTCTGTGAACTTTTCCTTTTCAAAGTTTTCCACATAAAAATTGGAAGTGTCTCCTCCCACTACTTCTCTTTTATTTGTGCATTTGTTGTATACTCGTCAAACACTATAAAATACTAAATTATTATTTATTTGCCTTCTCTATTTAGAGATTTTAATATATATATATATATATATATATATATATGTATAGATAGATAGATGATATGTATGCCATAGTCCATGCATGTAATAACATAAAGGTGTATGGTATCTCACGACACAAATATGAGGAGGCAAAAAAATATTTGATATCCTAAACACAATAAATTTTAAAAATATTTTAATAGAACTGCTAAATGATGAAGCAGCTTTTCAAAAAAAAAAAAAAAAAAAAAAAAAAAAACCTAAGAACTGAGAAAATAATGATAAATCATAGAGGTTAGATTAACTCTCAGAGCTACAAAAAAAAGAAATTTTTAATCATTATGGTTAACTGTTATCCACTTGTAATAACAGTTGGAATAAAATACCGCAAATGTTTGAAAAACTTGCAATATATTAAATGAAGCATTGAGCCCCCAAAGTTGCCCTCCACAAGTCCAAATGAAGCTGTCTTATTCTACTCTCTTTAAATATTCCATATAATTTCGCTGTTTTTAATTGTTTTTTTTTTTCTCACAAAAGCCATACAAAGCCAATCGTTTCCGGAGAGAGAGAGAGAGAGAGGGAAAAATATTACATCCTTCGGAGTCCATTGACACGTGGCTCCAAGGAAAATGAAACACACGTGCTTTTCTGTGATCCGGCCCGGTAACACAGAAGAATATTCC